TATATATATATCAATATATAGTTAACGATGATGCTTTAGGTCATATTTTTGCAGAAATATTGAAAATTCTGAAGTCTTCACAAACTTTCAAACACTACTGTATATTTATACATACACACGTGTATATTTATATACATGCATACATATAAAAAAAAATATATAAATGGTGCCGTGTGGATAATTTCTTGATAAGAGAGGAGCATTTTGAGTAAAAACTGCCACGGACGCACAGCAGCAACATGCAGGCAGGCGAGCAGAGCGTGACGTACCACTGAGCCGACTGTAACCGTGCTTCCCTTCAGGTTGAAGCTCTTTATGCTCCTCAGTTTATCAGCGTCTTCAGTTTTCACAAAAATCGCGTACGCCTTCATGTACACAAACACAAAAAGAAGAATTAGTACAAACCCTGGGACCCGATTCTCTCAATATTCAGACATAAAAAACCCTAAAAGGTAAATTTGCACAAATTTTGGGTAACAAGTAAGTACCAGTACTGTAATTGAGACAGATCTATAGAGCGCACCTGAATATACAGGTCCCTCTTGTAAATGTGTCCTCAAGGCTCAATGAGACTAACCCATATAAACAAAGGTTGAATGAATGAATATAATCTGTGCATGATATATAAAATAAATACATTTTGTACACATATAAATAAAGGTGAAATAAATAAAATAAATACAATAAACCAACCCACTTCGGCTAACGCGGTCAGAACTTAACTGTTTCTACAAACTAGAGATGCACCGATCCGATGCCGGTACCGATATCGAGAAAGAAAAAAAAAAACCTTCTGGATCGAGTATCGGTGACAATGTGATCAATCCATGACTCAGCAGATCTATCCACTCTAATTCTGTACTTTGTGCTCTGAGTGACGTCACGCGCTGGAGTACTGACTGAACAAGTTGTGTTTTTACGTTTGACCGAGCTTGTGAAGCTCGGTTTGTGTGCTGTTATGGTGCAGAGTTTTCAATAAATGTGTAATTCAGTACATAAAGCAAATGTTTTAAGTTAACTCAGCACTGGGTTTGTTAGCTCAATCATCCACGTAGACAACAAAAATGGCTAAATCATGTCATCTGGACCAGTTTCTGAACCAAGTCCAGATGACATGATTTAGCCATTTTTGTTAATTCAGCACTGTTTTCCATGTATCGGATCGGTATCGAATCGGTATCGACCGATAACAATATATGTGTATCGGTATCGATCGATAACAATATATGTGTATCGTTCGATAACAATATATGTGTATCGGTATCGACCGATAACAATATATGTGTATCGGTATCGATCGATGCAAACATATATCGGCATCGGATCGGTATCGACCGACAACAAACAACATGTATCGGTATCGGATCGGAAGTAAAGAAAGTGGATCGGTGCATCGCTACTAGAAACTGAGGTCGTCCAAAGACGTATTTGCAGCAGGTAAGATATTATTGTTCATCATTTTATCCCTAAAACCCCACCGACTGAAAAATGATGACGCAAACAAAACTTGCATTGGAAATGTTTGTCCAGAAAACCACAAACGTTCACTCCTGGAATAATACGTACCTGGTGTTTGGCCTTATACTGTACGACCGTCTCGGTTTTCCCAAACAGCTCCAAAGCATTGCGCAAGTCCATATACGATACAAATGGATAAACCCCGGTGAGCATCACCAGCTACAGAGAAAAACGAACCAAACACTTGAATTCACGATGACAGGAAAAAGACAGATCTAATCCAATCTCATTCAGGACCTGATTTGCTTTGAGAACTCTGTTCATGTCATCTCTAAATGTGTCTTTTAACTCTTGTGTTGTCCTTTAAATTTATGACCATTCATGTTGCTTAGGGGAAAAATCAACCATTTTATTTAAATGCTTAAAAATATTACTTTTAAATGTTTTCTTCTACATTAAAAAAAGTATTTTAGAGCTATCGCTGACTTTTTAAATTTTGAGTCTTTTTTTTTTAAATACCTCCACATCAATTTTTTTTTTTTAAATTCACAAAATATTTATAAATTTTACAGCAATTTTGGAGAAAAACAAAATAAAAGGCATTTCTCCCATTCTCTCTTGTAAATGAGTCCTCGAGGCTCAATGGGATTTACCTGTATAAATAAAGGTTGATTGATAGTACGTCCAAAATGACTTTTTTTTAAATAATTCTAGTTGGAGTTTTGTGAAGACCCTCCAGGTCCCCGGACCCTTCTTGTTTTCAGTCAAACTTACGGGCCCTGCATCATCCAGCCGAGGCGGCGAAATCGTCTCTCATCGAGGCAGCTGCCCGACAAAAATGGCGTCATTTGATTCTCAGAACAGCTTCGCCCGCTTCTTCTCCACACGAGGCCCGGATCAAACTTTTTCTAATAGACGTACGCGCCAAGTATCGTGTGACCGACCAGAAGTTTGTGGGCGGGTTCGTCCATCCTGAAACGCGCTCGGATATTCAGCTGTGCGACTCCTCAAACATTAAATTAGTCAAATAGCCCAACACTCGGCACCACGTGTCTCTTGGACGATGAAAGGCGTGCACGAAAACAAACGTCCCGCGACCACGCGACTGCAAGCCGACCGCTCGGCTTTGGATGGATTATGATGGGCCTTTAAGTCGTGTCTCTCGATCTTCAACCTTTTCTCTTTAATTATTATTATTATTATATATTTTTTGACTGTACGTGTGGCAGATGTGCCAATTTTTAAATTGTTTTTGGCTTGCAGTGACCCGAATATATGAGCGAGCAGCAGGCGCACGATGCACCCTCTAATCACTTCCTGACTTGGGATAAACCGACGGCAGTCAGTCGCTGTTGGATGTGGAACGTTCGATTCCGCAGCCTGCATGCACGTGGAAATTATTTTAAATACTAAACAGTGTTTCCCCTAGTTTACTTGCATTGCCAGGGCGCTCATATCGTCTGTGATTTTTGTTGACGGTGTGTGCGGGGTGTAGATTAGGCCTGTCACGATAACAAACTTTGCTGGGCGATTAATTGTCTCAGAAATTATTGCGATAAACGATAATATTGTTTGAAATAAGAGGCAGGGAACAATTAGTAATTATTGTCAAATTTAAGAAGAAATGTTTGTTAATTTGTTTTGCATGTACAGTAGTACCTATTTTCAACCACCGTATGGCAGTATAAGATTGAACTGAAGGATGGATAGTGAGGGAGCGAGCAGCGTGTCTCTAAGAAAAATGGGAGGGAGGCCTCTTGACGTGACATGGGCTGTCTTGGTTCTCAAAATGGCGGACGCTCGCTGTGGTTTGAGCTCTTTAGCATTTTTCACACAAAGCTTTTAATAAAAAAAATCAGTAAACAAGTTCTCCGCTTCTTTTTTCAGAGAAAAAACAACTTTTTACACGAAGACACGGGTTTCAACTGTGAATTTTGGAGCTTCGACAAGACGGAGGTTTTTTCCCCGAGGTCGGCCTGTTAGCTTAGCTCGTAGCTTAGCTGCTTTAACGATCCAAAAACGTGATTTTTGGATCGGTGAAGAGCACCTGAGGTGAACCTTTTGTCATCCAGTGTCTTCAGTAGAACGAGAGACATGAACGATAAAGACGATAAATGAAAATCAGGTCGATAATTTTCATTTATCATGCGATTAATTGATTTATTGTTTATCGCGGCAGGTTTAGTGTAGATGAAGACAGTCCGTGTTGCACGGTGTGTGTTGGCGGGGGAGATGGAGCGTGTCCTCCAGTCATAGCCAGAGCTTAATCTGAGCCAGATCCTGCCAGAACAGGATCCGGGAACTCCCTCATTTTGACAGGGTGCGTTCCGGTAACTGTTTTCTTGGATCCGGTAACTCTCAGGCTTACCAATAATAAAGTCATGAACAAATATGGCTGCCTTGAACAGATAAAGCTTACACTGGATACGTAAACTGAAAATAATGGCACGAACATTAATTTTAAACACAGTAGCCACTTAGGAGCATACGAGCTGCCCCTTCAAGTAGCATTTCCATTTCTACCCTGAAAAATAATCTCTGCCCCTATAAAGAGTGGTGGGGGTGAGCGCCGAGCTACCAGGCAGTCGTACCAGGCAGGAGCCCAGACGGAGGAGGTTTCACATGTGGAGTCGGACAACAACGAGCAGGAACAGTGTCGGACTCGGGAACGGAGGTAAGATGCTTGACAGAAGCAAAGTGTTTACAAATGCAAGTAAACGCAGTGGTTAATCCGAGACGGATCCAGCCGGAACAAGACCAGGGAACTCTCATTTTGACCGTGTGCATTCCGGCAACTGTTTGCTCGGATCCAGCAACTCAAATCTCCGCCCCTAAAAGTCCGAAGTCATGGCGCATTTTTATTTTGATTATTTATTAAAAATACAGTCAGTCTGCGGAGTGGATATTACGGCTGCAGCAGGCGCACCAGTTTACGCACACGCTCCTGCCCAGCAGAGACGCAGACAGGATGTCCCACAGGGATGAAGCGTCGACATCAATATGGCAAGCCAAGTGGCTCATTAATAGCCAGACGTGATAAAAAGTGGCTATAACAATAATAACAATAACAATAATGTGTTATGTGTTGTCATCATTGTCTGTTTCCATGCAATGGCAAAATTGGCTCTCTGCATTTAACCCATCCACCACCAGGTGGCGCAGTGGGCAGCTGATGCCACGAGATGTGCAATGACCGGGGATCGAACTTGGGACCTTCGGGTCCCGAGTCGCCTCTACATCACAAAAGACAATACAAGAGTTAAAAACGACGCCAGTGACTTTATCTAGACGAGTTGATCACATGACCTGTATCAACAATTAAAACGGGTAAATTCAAACTGTAATCTTTTGCTTGAAAGACTAAATAAGTGAATTCAGGCGCGATGCTGGTGTGTGTCAGCTGATGTATTTTGGCACGTCCGTCTACGTTTCATCTGCCTTGTTGGGTGCGGATAACTGTCCTGGTTTGAAGTGACACTTACCTTATCTCGGTCAGGGGAACGCATTTCACTTTTTGATGATGAAGAGGAGGACGTCTTTAGCTCAGCTTGAAAGGCCGGAGTCAGAATTTTTATCACTTCTTCCAGTTCCGAATCGTTTGGCTCGACTCGACTTGACTCGACTTCAAGAACAAAAACAGCAGAACAGGATGAAACAAAATGAACATGGAAAGGAATAACAAGCAAAGTTATCATAGTTTAAGAATTATGACTGAGTTAAAAAATAAAACTACCATCCGTTTTGGCTGCAGCTGGCGTCTTTGATTCTTCGGGACAGTGGTGAATTTAAAAGTCATGTAAAAGAATGGTAGAAGGTATTAGAGGAGCACAGTAAAAGATTTATAAGTCTTGCTGTGTTGTTTAAAACGCATCTCAAACTTCACGAGATTTTTCTGCAACGATCATCACCTTTACAGCTTTGAATCCTTCGAGTTGGCACACAAGTTTTTTCTGTTTTTTTAACCATACAATCAAACGCCATAAAGACCATCATGTTCTATAATTTCCTAACAGAGCAATTCACTATCAGGCTGCAGGTTTACTTGGGGTTCCTAGAGAATCTAAAAGCACAATGGGAGGCAGAGCTTTCAGTTCTCAGGCTCCTCTCTTGTGGAACCAACTTTCATTTTTTGTCCATGAGGCTGACACTCTGTCTACTTTTAATACTTCACTTATTCATAAATCATATAGTTAGGGTTGGCTTGGGATTCCTGATGATTCCTTTAGTTCTGCTGCTATAGGCTTAGCCTGCTGGAAGACAAACTGACCACATGTACTCACTCTGCTGCTGTATTTGGTTCTCTTAACTCTCTATGTTTGTAGTTGTAATTGTTTCTATCATTAACACTATTTACGGACCAATATATCGGTAGAGCCGACAATTTAGGCTGATATAGACATTTGGGAACCTATCGTATCGGTGATAGTTGTCCCAATATACGCCGGTATAAGCACTTCTAATTTCCACCCCTAAAATGCTTGGAACCAGCTGTAATTGTACAATGTATCCAGCAGAGGGCGCATGAAGACAACTTTCAAGTCACTGCCATTCACCTTAAGTTTCACTTTCACAACTTTCAAGTCACTGCCATTCACCTTAAGTTTCACTTTCACAACTTTCAAGTCACTGCCATTCACCTTAAGTTTCACTTTCACGATTAGCACCGACGATGCACGTAACAACTGTGTAGTGTATTTTGCTGAACAGAGCATGGTAAATTTATTTTAACTGATCTGTAAAACAAATCAACAATAATAGATTATCTTTAATCCTCTACCTGCCATGTCATTAGCCTCTCAAGCTAGCAAGCTAACATTTAGATAACCTAGCATAGGCTATAGCCTTGTAAAACTTTATCCAGAACAATAAATCTAACGTAGAGGTAAAATATGTCTGTGTTAGTAACGTTATCTTTGTCGTCCTCAATGAATCGTTTGTCTGGAATCTTTACTTCTCTGCAAAGAAAAACGCAGCTGCGGTCAACACTGATTAGACCTTCATCATACGTGACTGACTGTTTAAACAATGAACAGGGAAGGGCTTTGTGTAATTTAAATTTATGTAACACACTTGATAACTTTATGGTGAACAGTGGCAAATAGAAAACGTGAACGCACATTAGGAAGACTGGTTTTATGACCAGCGCACCACTTGTAAACCTACTGTGGGTCTATGTATAGCGTGGATCTCATTAGCTTAGCTTCATGGTTGCTAACAGCTGTGCTAAATAAACGAGCCCCGCTCCACTCGCTGATTTCTTAGATTCTTGGGGGTGGATAAAGCTCAAAGGTTTTCAGCCATTTTATCAGTTATCTGCAGTCATCCGAGTTTTATCTGTCTAGAAAATGTGAAAGTCATTTATGTTAAACCAACAAAAAGCAGTTTTCCTGTCATGTTTTTTGCAAATATGTGAATACTAGTACTAATACAAGGAGTAAAACATACTTTATTTTATGCCTTATGACTTCAAAGAAGGATACGTAACTTTCCCACAATTAAAAATATAAAAAAATAAAATCACAAAAGCCTACATAGTTCATGGTTTAAAAAAAAAACAACTATTATTTGTTTCCTTCTTTATATGAATCTAGCCTTTTGTCTTAATTTTTTTAAAATACAGTGGTGCTTGAAAGTTTGTTATCACTTTAGAATTTTCTATATTTCTGCATAAAAGACCTAAAACATCATCAGATTTTCACACAAGTGCTAAAAGTAGATAAAGAGAACACAATTAAAGAAATTAGCCAAAAAATATTATACTTGGTCATTTACTTATCGAGGAAAATGATCCAATGTTACATATTTGTGATGGTAAAAGTACGTGAACCTTTGTTTTCAGTATCTGGTGTGACATGGGATGAGGTTCCAAACATAAAACTTTTCATTTAAACCAAAAAGTTCTATTTTGGTCTCGTCCGTCCACAAAATATTCTTCCAACAACCTTCTGGTTTGTCCATGTGATCTTCAGCAAACTGCAGACGAGCAGCCATGTTCTTTATGGAGAGCAGTGTCTTCTCCTTCAACCCTGCCATGACACCACTGTTGTTCAGAGTTCTCCTGATGGTGGACTCATGAACATTAATGTGAGAGAGGCCTTCAGTTGTTAGACGTTACCCTGGCGTCCTTTGTGACCTCGCCCACTATTCCACACCTTGCTCTTGGAGTGATCTTTGTTGGTCCACCACTCCTGGGGAGGGTAGTGGTCTTGAATGTCCTCCATTTGTACAGAATCTGTCTGATGTGGACTGGTGGAGTCCAAACTCTTTACAGGTGTTTTGTAACCTTTTCCAGCTTGATGAGCATCAACAACTGTTTTTCTGAGCTCCTCAGAAATCTCCTCTGTTCCTGCCATGATCCACAAACATGATGTGAAGATCAGACGTTGATAGATCCATGTTCTTTAAATCAAACAGGGTGTCCACTCACCTGATCATCATCCACTGATTGAAAACACCTGACGCTAATTTAACTCATAATCCTTGAGGTTCATACTTTTACCACTCACAGATACGGAATATTGGATCATTATCTTCAATAAATAAATGACCAAGTATAATATTTTGTCCCGTTTGTTTAACTGGGTTCTCTTTAGCTACTTTTAGAACTTGTGTGACAATCTGATGGTGTTGTCATGTGTATGAAGAAACATACAACTTTTTTAAAGGGTTCACAAACTTTCAAGCATCACCATAATTAACAAGTATTTTTCTTTTGTGATCCTTCCCATAAAAACTACACCCGGGCCACAGAAATCCATCAGTGGGCACAGTCAAATAAAAATACACAGATTTCAAGCGTTACTGTTGAACTTTACCTGGTGCTGGTTTCACTCCTTGAACTGCTTTTCCTGATAATAAAGCAAAAAGGTGATTAAGTTAAAAAATACTCTTTATCATTTTAATACAATTTGTTACGATCAGCACCTACAACTCTGAAGCCCCTACACCATAGAAACCACACCTGGATGAAAGAAACCACACCTAGACCATAGAAACCACACCTGGGTGAAAGAAACCACACCTAGACCATAGAAACCACACCTGGATTAAAGAAACCACACCCAGACCATAGAAACCACACCTGGACCATAGAAACCACACCTGGATGAAAGAAACCACATCTAGACCATAGAAACCACACCTGGATGAAAGAAACCACACCTAGACCATAGAAATCACACCTGGATGAAAGAAACCACACCCAGACCATAGAAACCACACCTGGATGAAAGAAACCACACCTAGACCATAGAAACCACACCTGGATGAAAGAAACCACACCTAGACCATAGAAACCACATGTAAACCATGAAAACTAAAATACATCATCTCTACAGAAAGCTCTCGGTCCATTTATCCAACACAAAGATGAAATGCATCAGTCAGGACTATTAAATCCATCAGTGGGAACAATCAAATAAAAATACACAGATTTTTAAACTTTACTGTCTATATGAACATTATTGTTGAACTTTACCTGGTGCTGGTTTCACTCCTTGAACTGCTTTTCCTGAAAGTAAAACAAAAGGGTGATTAAGTTAAAAAATACTCTTCATCATTTTAATACCATTTGTTACGATCAGCGCCTTGAACTCTGAAGCCCCCAGACCAGGGGTCTGCAACCTGCAGCTCTGGAGCCACATGCAGCTCTTTGGTCCCTCTGCAGCGGCTCTTTCAAGTTTTGACCAAAAGGACGTTATACCCACAAATATACTAGTTTTAGTAGTTTTCATGTCATTTCCATTGCAAATATATGGAATAATAATACTAATACACATAGTAAATAATACTCTATTTAACTTCATGCTTTATTTCTTCAAACTAGGATGCTCAATTATTCCACAGTGGAAAAAAAATACGTCTGCACGATTCATCGTTTTAGTTTTTAAAAAAATTGGCAAAAATAATATGTAAATATTTTTTCTTTGCAAGGATTCAGTCTTCTGTGATGGACTTGGGACCTGTCCAGGGTGTCCCCTGCCTCTCGCACAGTGACTGCTGGACATACAGTAGGCACCACTGACCCCCTCAACCCAAAAAAGGAAGAAGTGGATGGATGGATGGAATCCAGTCTTTTCTTTTGTCTCAAAATGTAAAAATATTAATAAATGTTAACGATCATCA